GTACCACTGATGGTACGCGAGAAGTTCTCAAGTGGTACGCAAAACAGTTTATATTTGCATTATCATTATTCTTTTTTTTTGTTCAGTGGTACTACCTGATTTTTAAAATAGCCTTAGTGGTACGCAAGGATATAAGTTTGAGAACCGCTGTTCTACAGCCTAAACTTCAACTTATATTAAAAAAAAGTTTTAAACGGTTTTAACGGTTTAAAGCGGTATAAGCTCCGCCCATCCCTGTGACGTCAAGACTTAGGTTGTCTATTCCATAATGACGCCATAATTTGGTTGTCGCCACGTCAAATCTTTTTAAATGAAAGTTTCAATATCTCGAAAACTATGCAGTTTAAAGCATTAAAACCTTATGGCATTTTGCAACACCTTGTCAAAAGGAATCCAAAAACCTTAAAATATACGGGGTGTTCCATTTAAAAAACACACTCACCATGTCGTAACTCAGACTGCCGTCATCATTTCTATTTTATTTCTACGCCAAGATATGCGGAAAATAGTTTCAAGTAACTTTTGTTTAAAATTTTTTTTAATATAAGTGGAAGTTTAGGTTATAGAACCTTTATTCCATAGTTGTTGTACACCCTGTATATGGCAGGCGTCCTAAAATCAACCCGTTTGCATCCTAGGGAATTATTTTCTACTCAGGGAACTGGAGTAGACATATTTCGCCTAGTAATGTCAATAAATAGATTTCTTGTTGGTACGTAACCTACGATTTGATAATTCTGAAACACGAGAGGAGCGAAAAAAGATAGACAAGTTAGCGCCCATCAGAGAAATGTTTGATGCATTTGTTGCAAATTGTAGGATTTCTTTCAGCTGCTCTTTTAGACAATATATGCCGAATAAACCCAATAAATATGGAATCAAAATTTTTGCGTTGGTAGATTCCAAATGTTATTTTACATTAAATTTGGAAGTTTGTGTTGGAAAGCAGCCAGACCCTACGTCGTGAGTAATTGCTGTTTAAAAAGACTTTGTGAACCTATAAAATAGTCTAGACTCTAGAAGAAACATCTCCACCGATAATTGGTTTACAAGTATGGAGTTATTGGAAGCACTCTATAATCATAAATTGACTTTGCTGGGCGCAGTTCGAAAAAACAAAAGGGAGCTACCAGAAGAGTTTTCACGTCCACATAAATCTCGCCCGGAAAGATCCAGTATGTTTGGTTTTCGTGAAAATGTTACTGTAGTTTCGTACAAGCTAAAGAAAAACAAAAATGTGTTGCTCATCGCAAGTCTACACCATGATGATAATATAGATAAAAATACTGGCAAACCAGAAATCATTGTAGACTACAAGAACACAAAAGGAGGCTCTCCTTAATAATGTTTGGGAAGCTATGGAAAACGGAGATGAAACAACAGCGATGCTATGTGATCTAACAAAAACTTTTGATTCCATTCAACATACTCTTCTTATTGCCAAGCTGGAAAAATATGGTATACGTGCAAGACCACTGGAACTGATTACTTCATACCTAACAGATAGGAGTCAGGCGGTCAGCCTCAACGGTGAAATGAGTTCTTGTTTACCTGTGACAAACGGAGTACCGCAGGGATCGCTGGTGGGGCTACTTCTCTTCTGTTTATATATCAATGATCTACCTGAAAATATTTCATCTGAAGCCATACTCTATACAGATGATATAACTATGATAGAGAGTGGCTCAGTACCGGTCAGAACAGCTGTAGCTTGTGCTCTGAATGAGGCTGCTGAATGGTTCAGTAACAACGGTTTGACCTTAAATGATGACAAACCTGAAGTAATCACTTTGACTACTAATCGTAACACTAAGCAAAAGACGGCTACCGTCCGACTATTAGATATCAACTTGGACAGTAGACTCACTTGGAAAGATCATAGAGACATATTGGTGAAACAACTGTCATCTGCTATTTACACTATTTTAAGAATTCGCCAAATAGTAAACGCCTCTGCTGCTAAAACCGCTTAGTTTGCTTTTTCCATAGCAAGATAAGCTACGGACTACGTCTTTGGGGAGCGTCTGGTCACACAAGCCTGTTTTCATACTGCAGAAAAAGGCGCTAAGAATAATTGAACAGGCGCATCCAAGAACTCACTGTAAGCCCCTATTTAAAAAATATAATGTACTCACACTTCCATCCGTGTACATCTACCAACAACTTTGCAAGGCTAAAATAGAATTACCTTCATTAACATTGAGAAAAGAGGACACTCAAATAAATGTAGGAAATGGTACACAAGTCGCCATACCGTACTGCCGTGTGAAAACAATAATGACAAGATCCGGTCACCGTCATTTGTTAAATGCTCTTCCCAAGCAATGGTTACAAAAGCCTACAACTATTTTTAAAAAAGACTTAAAGAAAGTACTTATTAAAGGCGCTTTTTACAGTGAAAATGAGTTTTTAAATTATATGAGAGGTTAAGGTTTTCGATTCTGCAATTATTTTTCTTTTTTTCTTCCTCCCTACATAAACTGTTTTAAACTCAAACTTATTTTTTTTCCGGACGTTTTTGCAATACAGAATTTTATGTATTTTTTTTTTGTATTTTAGCGAAATGAAGATCATTATTATGGTGTTAAGGTGGCGTAGACACCGTTGATAAACTTTGCACATCTTACGACTGCGCCAAAAACACTAGGAAGCCATTAATGCTATGGTAATAAATAAATATAGTACAGCTAGTACGGAAAGAAAAAAAAATTCTTACGAAATTAATCCCTGCAATTGGTCGATGGCCAACTTCGTCAACGAGCCCAATTACGTTGTTTACTAAAACCGCTGTTGAGAATTAGAGATATCACCGGGTTTGAGGAACCACAGCAAAAAACATCTCAAGATGAAAACACTACAAAACGAGGTCGCTGTAGCTACTGCGACTGCAGAAAAAACCGCCCAACAAAATATTCGTGCAAAAAAATGTAATAAATGTGTTTAGAACATTGTACTTTTATGTAACGAATGTGATGCTGAATAAATAAGATTCTTATAGTGATAACATTTTATCATTTAATAAGTTTCCATTTAAAATTACATCACAAAACATTTTTTTAAATGTGCGGACTCAGACTCCGCGCTCGTGTACTTATGGTATAATTAAGAGCGCATGTTCCGAAGGTTAAGAAGAAAGAGACCTGGGAGTCGTGTCCAGAGTAATTCGAAAGCACACACATACCAAGAGTTTCAACAGGCATCCGAAAGAAAGTGTTATTTCGATGAATACCATCCATAAGAAAGCACATCTGATTAGTTTTAATAGTCGGGCTGCTGCCCATAAGCCTTTGATCACTGGTCTTTGAAGCTTCTCAGTTAATGTTTTGTAAAATACGTCGATAATAAACCGTAAATCAGTGGAAACAGGTTCTCTGGACGTTTTCTTTTACGGTAGAGAGTAACCACCCTTCGGACCTGGCGTTAGCCTGAAGAACGCCTCTTCCAGGAACACATTGTCTGGGGATGTTTCTCCTGTTATGGATTGAGTCCCTTGGTTCTAATTTATGATAACCTCAACGCCGAAGTCTACTGCACAATTTTAAATAACGATGTGTTTCCTACATAAAAGCGGTCTGTTACTGTCATATTGCGAGGTCTATCTAATTTTATCTTTGCACCGCAAGCTAACTTGTCTCAAAACTTTTTACTGAACGTTTATTAAGTCTGGTTCTGCAGTTCAGCACAGAAAAATCAGTAAAATTTTGCGTAATAAAATTTTAGTCCGCTGTATTAACAATTTAAAAATAGGTACCCATTTTTGCATCACCTTGTGGTCACTTTTTAAAACATAACATTTTTAAGATTTCTACAAAATGGTGAAACTTAGCAATCTGCATTTCCACTCAAACAAAAATGAATGAATATAATTTGCACACCACCTACTCAAAGAACAATTTTAAAGAAATTTGTTTCTAAAAATCTGCATTATAATTAAACTTTTTTTATCAGAACTAAATCTCTCTGTAAATAACAACTATCTCCGTCGTATGGCTGCACAAGAAGATCTAAAGAAAATAACACATAAAAATTTAAACTAAAAAAAAAATGTAGCCTTAAATATAACCTTAAATTTTACAAAAAATAATATAGTAGGCCGCTTCACTGTCCAAGCCGCCTTAGCTTTTCGTTTACAGACGGCGAGAAAGACAGAGAGAAACAGAACGAAAGAGAGACAAAGAAATATTTTTTTGTGATATTTTTTTTCAGTGTCAATCAATCAATCAGAGATAATTACATTAGCCTACGATTCTTGTAGATTGTATGTACCGTCGTCTCGTAAAGATTAGCGGGGACACCCGTGGGCCGGGAGGGATGCAGGACGATCGCTTCCTAAATTCGGACGGATTCGGCATCTCCTTCATACGATCCAATTTTAAAAACCACGCCCTGAGGACTCCTTCCAAAAAGTCGCGCCACGGCACACGCTAAACGGGGAATTCTCTCAATTTAGTATACATTTTTTTCTTGTTTTTTTTTCGCTACACATTTTACTTTAATAATTAAATTTTTATTTACAAGAAATGTTTTTCGTATAGGAGGAAAATAAAAACACCCCAAAGATAATTGAAATGAAATTATGATTAATATTACTAATTTTTAAATACTGTTACTAATAACATTAGTCATTAGTTTTAAATTAAATGATTATCTTTAGAGGTTGTTTATTATTAAAAAAAAACTATATTCTAAAACTTATTACATACCTACTGGATATAAATAAACCTGAAATAGTTATACGAATGATACAGAATAAAACATGAGCTGTAAAAATGTGGAAATACCAACAAAAATTAAAGGATAACAAAATGGGATAGGATAAGGATGAAAATTGGATTTTTCATTAAATAGATTTAAAGATAACCAGGTAAAAAAAAGATTTTTACCTTCACCTTTGAAGATTTTTAAGATTTATCTTTCATAATTTAATAATTGAAAACAGTAAAAATCTTTTTACAATTATCTTTCCCTAAACTAAATTGGACAAAGTTATCTGAACTCACCTGTTCACGCCGTTGAGACTTCTCCTCTTTCTCTCGACGTCTCACCTCAATCAAATATTCGTTGAATAAACTTTCTCGTTCCCTCATCTTTTCCACACCTTTAAACCGCTCGTCCTTTGCATACTTTTGGGCAAAGTCACTAAATGAAGACCTTAAAAAAAATAAAAAAAAAATTCTAAATAAAGTTATAACTTTTTGGTGATATTAGCAATTATAAAATGCTAAATAAATTTGGTTAGAAGACTTTTAAAAGTGTCACGCAAATTGATACTTTCGACGTATCAAGCATTGGGTTGTAAATATATCACTCAAAATACCCCCTATTTCGACTTCTTTTTCGAGAACGTCGGAGCCGTTAGCGACGAACATAAAGAAAAGTTCCATCAGGATATTTCATCAGGCATTTTGCCAAATTTTTATTGCTTACAAGAGACCAGCCTTCAAGTCAAGAACTCCAGAAAATCATTCTTTTAGATTTATTGGGTGCCAAATTTTTTCTACACCTCTTTTCCACCTTAGGGTCAAAATAAAATTAAAGTAAAAAATGCCTAAAAAGTTCATGTGACAAATTAAAAGTTCATTTTTGTCTCTCTTTTGATTATGATCGAAACGAAAGACCATAAACTTAGCTGGAAAGAACAGTGGTAGAACATGTGATAAGTCACTTAAATTCGAATTAAGCGCCAAACACTACGAGACGACGAAGTGGACATTATGTTGGACCTATGCAACAAAATATGGCAGACCGGACGCTGGCGTTAAAATTGGACGCAATTAATAATGTATCAGAACACAAAAAAGGCTTTACATGAAAATGTGAGAATTAGCGAACCATCACACTTATCTCTTATGCTAGCAAAGTCCTGTTGAGAATTATCGATCAAAGGCAAAATTATTATCTAGAACGACAAATCGCTCTAGAACCAGCAGGTTTTGATAAAGGTAGAGAACCAAAGATCAGATCTTTAATATCGGACAACTGACAAAAAAATTATGAGAATTTAATTTCCCGTTTGGCTGTGTAAGATAGAGCTGCCTCTTGAAAAATCTTTTGGACATAAGAGTTCCAAACGATTTGATAAAATATATTGAAGACCAGCCACGAGTGGTATCGAGTTGGCAAAAATGATCCAACTAATTACTACCGAAAACCACACTCTGGGGATGGAAAAAATTTCACTAACACTAAACTAATTATGGTGGAATGAAGCAATACCCTCCAAATACAGCACTTCCCACCACAAATTCGAGCCGTCCTTGAGTTTGTTTATCTCGAATCTTTAATTTCCAGTAAAGGTACTTATGAGCCAAAAATAAAGCGACATATAATACATCTGGGTCAAACAAATAAATAATAAGGAACACGAAGTTGCGACTTATGAAAGCTCTGGTTTTCATCAGAACTTCAGACGGGTTCAAAATTGATGTTTTTGAGATGTGATGCTGGAGACGGATGTTACGTATTCCCCGAGTGTCAAGAGGAACAACATGTTAATTCTTCAACAAAAAGAAAAGATCCAGGAACAGCTAAGATGAAAAATTACATTTTACTATATAGCGGAAAAGCGAAACAGGAAAGAGAGCACAGTCAGGAGTGGGCAAGAAAAATATACGGAGAATATTGAAGACATTGAATATTTAAACAATAGAATAATGGACGTCTATGTTGTTATGGTGTCCATAACAATTAATCAAAGTACAACAGATCTGAATTAACACAAATGCACCTAATACAACCGACGGTAAGCATAGAGTAATAAGAGAGTTTTATCTGGTATTACAAAATTCTATTGACAAATTGAATAACAACCATAAAACTTTAATTTTTGGAGATCACAATGCTCGTATAGGGAACAACAAAATTGTGATTTTAAAATAACAAACAGAGCAATTCTCCCCCCACAAATACTAGATGTAAAGTCCTTAGATCAGCTAACTTAGGAACTGACCACAATCTTGCTGTATGCGACATAACAATAGAATAACCCAAGATTAAAAATACCAAACTGTGGTTTTGTGATGAAGTAAGAGAACTTTCAGCCATATATATAACATGTAACATAATACATGAAAAATTAAGATAAATAGTCTTAATTATACATGGGCTCGCAAATGCCTCCTTAACGAGATATAACGGGTCAAACTTTCTTTAAAATTAAACATTATCTGCAATAAAAAACCGTTTTTTAAAATATTGTCTTCGCCAAAATTAGCAATTTTGTCAAACCTTTTAGTATTTTCGTGTAAAGTGATCAATTATCAAAAATCAATCAAAAACTGTTGCTTTAATCAATGTTTTGTAAGAGACCAATTGATAGATAATTGATCAGTTTACACGAAAATACTGCCCATTTGACAAAATTAGCAGTTGCGTTGAAAATGTTTTTAAAAAAGGGTTTTTTATTGCAGATAATGTTTAATTTTAAAGAAACTTTGACACCCTTATATCTCATTAAGGTGGCATTTACAAGCCCACGCATATTAAGACTACTCTTAATTTTTGATGTATTACTAAATGGAGTAAATTTACCAGTGATATGGACCATAACTTATATGGAGCACAGAAGAAATTATGAAAAATCCTCAAAAACACGAAAAAATCCATAAACGAATTCTCCAGCACCAGGCGAAATTACACAAGGAGACAGTTTAAGCCCATTCCTATTTAATCTGATAATGGAGAAAATTGAATTTAGGCTATAGAGCGAGCAAGAATATGTGAGCAAGTCAGTGTGATATGCTATGCAGACTATTAATATTTTGTTTATATCGAATGATCATCAAGAAATCAAGAATCAATCAAGAAAACAAAAAACTTGTCGAAGTAGTATAGAAGACAGGCCCATCAAACAAGTCTGTCATTTCAAGTATCTTGAACTGAAGATTTCCAACAGTCATAACCCAGCCAAAGCCTTAAGAAACCTGATCAATAAAGTGACAACTTTATTATGATCCCAAGAGAGAGATAACATACAGAATACAGACTGGATAAGAAATTTAACATCAGAAAACGTTGTGGTATAATAAATGTGGTAAAATGAGGAGACAATGAAAAGAGGATGGTGTGATCATATCAAGAGGATGAGTAAGATGATCATGTAAGAGGGAAAACCAGCTGGAACTCCACATCCAAAACACACTTCGACTATGAATTTAGATATCAACAGACTAAAAATAGATCTAAAACAAGTAGAAGAAGAAGAAACGCTATAGAATAGGTTCTCATTTGAAGGTTTTACGGTCTCAAATATTTTATAAAGACTGGAACAAATAATAACCAGAAGGTGCTAGAACTGGAGAATATGGTGGGTGTAGCAATATACCCCATCCAAGCTATAAAAGCTTTTAGTGAGTTACCAAACTTGTATAAAGTCTCGCATTACTTGGTGGAACCCTACACTTTTTTCTGTTGATTCTGGTCTTGTTTAATTAAGTGAACCATTTAATTTATTCAACAGATACAGTACCGCTCAAAAATATATGATATATAATTTGGTTTTTCTCACATAACTTTTCTAATACTAGACGAATCTTAACACAATTTTCAGACAATGCATAACGAGTGAATAGAATTATATTATTTTCCAGAGGTTACTATATGCCAAAGCATAGAGGCGTGATGATCATTTTATTTGAAAATCGATGTCAGGCCTAGAAACAACTTTTTGTTTCGCGTTATTTTCACACGATATTTTCGGAAAGTTATGAAATATTATTTGAAGACGTGGTGGACACTCGGGAGCATCGTGAAGAAGAAACAGAATTGTAGACCTCGAATCACCACTCGGCTAGAAGACAGGAACGTCGCGAGACTGTGCAATGAGAACCAACGGCTCACTGCGGTGGATATTCGGAGAGAATTGTGGAGTGCTGCGCAGCGCCAACCGCCTACATCGACGATCAAGAGGAGGCTACAGGATGCGGGACTTATTGGTCGACGTCCGGTAAAGGTACCACTCGTTTCAGCTAAAAACAGACAGGTGCGCGTGGAGTGGCGAAAGCGCACCTCAACTGGACCCGGCAGAAGTGGAAGAAGGTCCTGTGGAGCGACGAGGGCAAGTTCCTGCTATTCGGAACTGATGACATATCGTGGATACGCTGTTCTACAGACACTCGCTTCGATCCCAAGTACCTGCTTCCCACGTCGAAGCACGGCTGTGGTTCCGTTATGCCCCCTGATCAGCATTACGTTCACCATGGACCGCCACAACTACAAGGACATTCAGCAGGATGACATGTTTCCCTGGGTACGCAAAAACATGGTTCGGGGGTTGGCTGTGCCAGCAACACAATGATTCCAGGCACACATCCTGGGACGTCGCCAACTGTTTCGTCCAGTGTCGATTGGCAGTAATGGACTGGTGCAGCCAGAGTCCGGATCTCAATATCATCTAACCGCTGTGAGACACTCTGGGACGCAAATTGACGGGCATCAGGCCACTTCTGCCAAGGAGAAATTCGATGCATTGATCGATTCCATGCCCCGTAGATGCAAGGCTGTGATCAACAGCAACGGTTACCCAACTAAGTACTAGGTTGCTCTACATGGCTGATTGCTGTACGCGATTGTTATGTTGATATTTCTTTAGTTATGATTTATTTTTGTTGACATCAACTCAAATTGTTGAACTTTTGTTGAACTCAAAGTCGAAACGGATTCTTCTACACAAGTCTATGTCATGTGAAATACATTGGAAAAGCTATGGTGAAAAGATTGTCTGATTTCATAAAGTTTCAAAAAAGTTATGTAGGAAAAACAAAATTATCATATACTTTTGAGCGGTACTGTAACAGCCCACTTCAGAATTGATCGTTGTGTTGTACGGTAGAAGCTCAAAAAATCGATTCCTTTAAAATCCCACCAAAGAGATAGCATCATATTTTTTTTATGATTTTCAAAATGGTTAGAGCCGATTATCTTTTTCACTGCAAACATAAGAAATACGTTTAACATTGCTGTAAGCAACCAGCGTCTCCAAGTTTCTTTCTGTAAGAACATGAAAACGTGAGAACATGAACAGTCGAATTTAACGAGAAATAACAAGTAGTTATTTCGCCGCTTTGCATCAATTAATGCCTTTATTGTGTCTTCATCAGCTTTCCAAAACGTGATACTTCAACATCAAAATTTCCAGATCGAACTTTTTCAATCCGGTATTATCACTGGCATTCTGTCAACATATCTTCTCCATAAACATTAGATAATTTTTTTCTTGATTGAACCGCATTTTTACCTTTTCAATGGTAAAAAAATAATAAATAACGCAGAAAATGCTGCTTTTTACTTTTTCATAAGCAAGCCTTGCTATATCAGTTGTTAAAATATACAATGATTATGTGGTTCAAGTGTGAAGGTGGCTGTGAAAAAATACAACTAGGACCTCTGTTGGAAACAAACGAAATTACTTTTCAAACAACCTAATATAATTAATTCAATACGCTTCACAACATACAGTGTATCGAAAGAAGTNAACAGACAGGTGCGCGTGGAGTGGCGAAAGCGCACCTCAACTGGACCCGGCAGAAGTGGAAGAAGGTCCTGTGGAGCGACGAGGGCAAGTTCCTGCTATTCGGAACTGATGACATATCGTGGATACGCTGTCCTACAGACACTCGCTTCGACCCCAAGTACCTGCTTCCCACGTCGAAACACGGCTGTGGTTACGTCATGGTGTGGGTGTGCTTCAGCGCTGCTGGTAGCGGCCCCCTGATCCGCATTACGTTCACCATGGATCGCCACAACTACAAGGACATGCAGCAGGATGACATGTTTCCCTGGGTATGCAAAAACATGGTTCGGGGGTTTTCTGTGCCAGCAACACAATGATTCCAAGCACACATCCTGGGACGTCGCCAACTGTTTCGCCCAGCGTCGATTGGCAGTAATGGACTGGTGCAGCCAGAGTCCGGATCTCAATATCATCTAACCGCTGTGAGACACTCTGGGACGCAAGTTGACGGGCATTCGGGCCACTTCCGCCGAGGAGAAATTCCAACAGTTGCAAGCGGAATTGGAGAAGATCAACCAACCATGCATTGATCGATTCCATGCCCCGTAGATGCAAGGCTGTGATCAACAGCAACGGTTACCCAACCAAGTACTAGGTTGCTGTTGCTCTACATGGCTGATTGCTGTACGCGATTGTTATGTTGATATTTCTTTAGTTATGATTTATTTTTGTTGACATCGAACTCAAAGTTGAAAGGGATTCTTCTACACAAGTCTATGTCATGTGAAATACATTGGAAAAGCTATGGTGAAAAGATTGGCTGATTTCATAAAGTTTCAAAAAAGTTATGTAGGAAAAACAAAATTATCATATACTTTTGAGCGATACTGTAACAGCCCACTTCAGAATTGATCGTTGTGTTGTACGGTAGAAGCTCAAAAAATCGATTCCTTTAAAATCCCACCAAAGAGATAGCATCATATTTTTTTTATGATTTTCAAAATGGTTAGAGCCGATTATCTTTTTCACTGCAAACATAAGAAATACGTTTAACATTGCTGTAAGCAACCAGCGTCTCCAAGTTTCTTTCTGTAAGAACATGAAAACGTGAGAACATGAACAGTCGAATTTAACGAGAAATAACAAGTAGTTATTTCGCCGCTTTGCATCAATTAATGCCTTTATTGTGTCTTCATCAGCTTTCCAAAACGTGATACTTCAACATCAAAATTTCCAGATCGAACTTTTTCAATCCGGTATTATCACTGGCATTCTGTCAACATATCTTCTCCATAAACATTAGATAATTTTTTTCTTGATTGAACCGCATTTTTACCTTTTCAATGGTAAAAAAATAATAAATAACGCAGAAAATGCTGCTTTTTACTTTTTCACAAGCAAGCCTTGCTATATATCAGTTGTTAAAATATACAATGATTATGTGGTTCAAGTGTGAAGGTGGCTGTGAAAAAATACAACTAGGACCTCTGTTGGAAACAAACGAAATTACTTTCCAAACAACCTAATATAATTAATTCAATACGCTTCACAACATACAGTGTATCGAAAGAAGTGGTGAAAATAAATCTAAGCCTATGTATGCCTGCCTACTTAGATACTAAGTAGGCAGGCATATATACTTTTGTATGTTTCTGCATTTAATTTTCATTCCCAGTCTTTATTACATGGTTTCATGACAACAAAAAATAATCTTTTTAATTCAGGTAATCCTTCAAAAACATAAACCATGTGTAGAAAAGAGATGGCGTGGCTGTAACATTAAAATACGACAAAATCGACCATCAAAGGTCCAGCACGTCTATGACCTCGATTGTCTTGACGACTTTGTCACGGTAATATCTAAACATTTTGTTCCCCTTCCCTACAGGGTCTTTTGACACGTGAAGATATTCAAAATCAGTATGTATATTAGGGCTGAAACTAGCATAAGAAGCAAAGTGTCGATTTTGGTTGAAAATTGAGTTCTGATGACTCTTCACTGTATGTACAATAAGATTAAGTGATACTAGTAGTCTCATCAATTGCCTTAAATGAATTATAACTAAGAGTATTAATATACTTTGGCGGATACTCATCATTATTTATTATATCTCTCTACGCGTTAAAGACAGGCTAGTTGATATAATAAAATTGTACTTTCTTTTTAAAATTTAAAAGTAGATGTTTAACACAAAAAAAAAACTTACTTTCCGTGCAAATGTGCCTCATTCAACAGTTTTCGGAACGCCTCCTTCCGTTCACGCAATTTATTTCGTTTTTCTCGTCTTTCATCTTCCGCCCTCTCTTTTACGTACTTTTCGAAAACCTGCTTACGTTCCTTTGACGTTAGTAACAAGTAACGATGATCGAAAACGATCTTGTGGAGCTCTTTTTCCCATGTACTGAAAGCGGACACTTCCTTTTCCGCCAACATCTCTTTAAACGATTTAATACGTGTATCTAACGGTATTACGGCACGTTCTTTTGCCGCTCGAACTTCCGCTTCAATTGCAGCTTCTTTGCCTATATCAATTTTTTTTGGTTGAACCCCGTTTGCACCTAAAATACAAAAAAATATGGAATATATTATAAATAAATTCATTACACTTTAAAATAAAATGTTAAATAATTAATTATTTACTTGTAGTCACATCCTCCGTTTTAGGCTTTTTAGTTGGCGAATCACGTGCTTCTCCTTCACTCTCACTATCCTCAGATGCAATTCGCTTCTTTGTGTCCTTATTAATTTCTTTAGGTTGAGTAGCCAAAGCATCCGGTGGATTTGCTACCATTTTATCTACGTCGGAACGTCCCAAAAGGTCCTCGGGTCTTTCCCAAACAGACGAACGAGATGAAGGGTTGTAGAAAAAGACGCGGCCGTCGCCAGTCCACACAACACACCTATATTATTTAAATAATAATGATTTTGTCTAGTTTTTTTAGAAGTTAATTAATCAATAAAAATAAATAATTTTTACCATGGTGTTCCTGGGACTGGAGTGCTTGAAATCGGCCTAGATTTATCCTGTTGTTTAGCCTCTTTGGCTTTCTCCTCCTCTTCACGTTTCCTTTTCTGCTCATCCTCATGTTTCTTGCGTTTTTCCTCCTCTTCCTTCGCCACATCGGCCACATCACCGTTCACGACGACCACTTTAGGCGGTCCATCTGCTGGCTTACCTGTTTCCATTGATTGCGGCGATTCCCCGGTTGGTCTGGTGGAAATACCCTGAGCTGCTGCTAATTTTGCAGCTATAAGAAATTAAAGGTATAAAATAAAACATAAAGTAAAAAATAATAAAAAAATAACTCACTCTCCAAGTCTTTTAAGGATTGAGGTTTTTCCCAAACCGACTCCCCCTTTTTGGCATTGTAATAATAAAACCTTCCGTCAGGCGATTTATGTTCGGACCATTCGGAAGCTCTGGCTACAATGTCCGGATCCACTTTAGCTAAGACAGCAGCTTCGTCAACGGCGGAGAGTGGAGCTGGTATACCAGGATGGTGCATGCCAGGCGGCATGCCCCATGGAGCACCTCCAGGAGGACCGGCTGGCCAACCAGGCGGTCCTCCAGCCCAGTTACCTTGAAATCCAGGCGGCGGCAGTGCGAATGGTGGGAACTGACCAGGCGGTCCAGCTGCGAACGGAGGCACTCCTGGTGGTGGACCCTGAAGTAGACCTGGGGGTGGTTGTAAAGTCGATTGTTTTGGATCTGATTTGCTATCATCTCCTCCATCTATAATTTACAACAAACGTTATCGTCAAAAACAATCTGACAACAGCAATATCATTACTCACCATCTATTTTATTGGTGATATTTGCTTGCGCTAAAGCAGCTTGTGCCGCTGTCGTAGTTCCTGGGGCCATTCCCATTCCTGTATTGACCTGCGCTTGTGCCATCGCCTCCACCTGGTCTTGAGATATCACCTTAACATTAGGACCATCAGGCTTCGTCCAGGTCGTGTCGCGTGTCCTCGCATTATAGTAATAAGATTTGCCTTCTCCAGTTTTTGTTTCTACCCATATTTCAGCGTTCAAATCCACAGCCTATTAATATCAAAAATATATAATTAAAAATGAAAACTCAGGCCTATTCTGAATATCGGAATCGGACTTATAATTAGAAACGAATTGCTAATTAGATAGATATAAATATTAAAATTGACAACATTAAATTATTCTATATAAAGAGTGTCCCAACAAGAGCGTCGGATTTAAATTTGCCGCCATTTATTAATACAAGTTGTACGGCGTTTTTTTTGACAGTTGTCACGTACAGACCGCGCGATTTATGAATAGGGTGAACTATTCAAACGAACAACGTCTAACTATTATAAAAAACTGCGAAAACTGTGTGAGGCGTTTAATTACAATATTTGAGACCAAATTTATGCTGATGGATCAGAAGATCAATGTTCATCGTCGTCCTTGTCGGTCACTTGAAAACATAGCTACAGTAAGGGAATCTGTAGTCGAGAATCCAGGAACTTCCATTCGGCATCGTGGTCAAGAATTAAACATTTCCAGAAACACTATATAACGAATTTTGGAAAAAGATCTGCATTTGCACGCGCACAAGGTTCAATTGGTGCAAGAAATCAAGCCAAGGGACCATGCGCAGCGCCGTGGATTTGCTGATTGGGTGTTGGAACATCATCAAATTAATGCGGACTTTTCGAAGAAAATCATTTTTTCAGATGAGGCACATTTTCAACTCGACGGAAACTATCGAATTTGGGGTGCTGAAAATCTTCGTGTGGTACTCAAATAACCAATACATCCACCGCGAGTAACTGTCTGGTGTGTATTTTGGACTGGCGGCGTGATTGGGTCGTATTTCTTTGAAAATGAGGCTGGAAATGCGTAAACTGTTAATGGTGTGCGGTATCGCGAAATGTTAAAGGAATTTTTGTGGTCCGAATTGGATGTCATTGATGTGGAGGACATGTTTTTCCAACAAGACGGTGCGACCTGCCACACAGCACGTGAAACAATGGTGTTACTACAGACCATGTTTCCAGGCCGTGTCATTTCTCGATTTGGCGATCAACATTGGTCACCAAGATTGTGCGATCTAACACCGATGAACTCTTTGTTTGGGGCTATGTAAACGAAAAGGTGTATGCGAAGAAGCGTGAAACAGTTGAAAATCTTAAAGAGGAAATACGGCGCGTTATTGGTGAAATACAGCCACATTTATGCGAAAACGTTATTCAAAATTTCAATAAAAGAATAACTCTGTACCAAAGGTTTCGTGGTGGCCATTTGCCTGATGTATTTCACATTTAATCGGAACTATTTTTCTTTATGTTGAAATAAAAATGTTTGCTTAATTCAAAAAATAAATGTGTTTTTCTTTAAAATTAAATACGGCGCTCTTGTTGGGACACCTTTAGATTATTAAAATTATTACAATATTCTTACCATGTTGGGTGGACCTCCACCACTAAATCCGGCTGGATTCCCACCAGCGGGATTATTTGGACCCCCTAGAAGCGGTGGTGGGGCACTGTTTATATTTAGTTGTCCCCCCATCATATTTGGTGGTCCGAAAGGGCCTGGACCATTGGAACCTGGACCTCCCATCATGTTTGGCGGTCCACCTAGAAAAACCAATATATTTTTCAAATTTAAACTATTTTGGTTGAAACACAATACGTTTTGTAGTAAGATATTAAACAAAATATTGCTGTTGTTATAGACAATGATATTTGCATACTAATAAACATTTTTAATGATATATACACTTTTGTATATGGATCCACGTTGACTGTAATAAACAATCTTTGGGAATCAACAATACATTGTAGAAGAACGTTATGAAAAAGTTAGTTTTAAAATCTGATAAGAAATTAATTTGTTGGAAATTATTTATTTAATTCAATTAAACAAATTTTGCACTTAAAGGTGAAATGTGTTTATTATCACTCTACCGGTTTCGCTACTTTCGGAGCATCTTCAGGAGTTCGTCAATTTTTTGAACAACTAAACATGTATGTGATACTTTATTGAATTAATTCACTATTAAAATGTTAATCTCTAAACATGTGCTATCATACATCACTTTTTATTATATTTTAGGTTATGTTGAAACTGTCAATGGTATATTTTCTATTTTNTTTTTCTTCAAACGTCATTAAATGACAACTTTGTTGTCGTGTTTACTCGCGGTAGAAGTAAGTCATTGTTGCATAACGACGGTTGCTAAGATCAACATAGCAAAAAAGTACTTCAGCGTTATGGCGCTAAAGTAAATTTCACTTTAGCGCCATAACGTTGAAGAACATTTCACTTTAGCGCCGTATTATTTGCAACGTTTGAAGAAAAAATACTATGTTTTATTCGGAAGAGAAGCAGATTCGTTTGTGGCTGGTCCGTCATTGCCGGACTCACTTCGTTCGTCCGGCAAACTGTCGGACACGCCACAATTTTAACGGCTCATCTGTCATTAGCGTCGCTAAACGACAGACCACGCCTTATTTCATATTACATCGTTGTTTTTCTTGCTTTTTTTTTAAACGTTTTCAAACAGCCCTATGGTCGTCTAACGTTGAAAACCATGGATTCTGATGAAATAGTGATAGATTTATATACAGGGTTTCCCAAAACTCCCGGGACGGAGCTATAAGTTTTGAACAAGTGAAGAAAAAAAATTGAAAATTTGGGAATCACTAAAGAAATATAAAAACTACATTTTTAGACAGTTTAGAACTTCCATGCAATGTAGAGTTTTTTTAGGGGATGACACCCCTACATTTTTAAATAGTGCGGTAAATCAGTGCGAACGTTGACACCCAAGTCTTGAGCAGTTTTTCTCCAGTTTTTACCATCTTCGTAAGCTTTCATTATTCTTCTTCTATCAGCAGCACTAACCTTATTGTATTTACCGCGAGGCATTTTCATGGAGTTACGAAAGTTTGACGTTTATTAAAACAAATACCAAGCATACATGACTTATTCTTCGCAATTAATTGTCTTTCTTTAGGTGAGATTCCAAGTGTAAATATGCTAGATTTTTTTTAAATTGATTTTCATAAATTTAAAATTAATTTTGACGTGTATGAAATTCATTTTGATAAAAACAAAATTAAAATTCGTAAAAGAAAAATTCAGTTTCTTTAGTGTGAAACTGGTTTTCGTTAGTAGGAAATTGATTTGTCGTTAGTGCAAAAATGATTTTCATTTGTGTGAAATCCAATTTCGTAAGTTTGAAATTGAATTTCATAACTGCGAAATTGATCTGGAAATGGTATAGTTCTAGGTCTAATGTTAGTTCTAGAGACGGCTAAACCCGAATTATTCTAGTTCTAGGTCTTGTGTTAGTTCTAGTGATAGTGCTAGTGCAAAACTACAACTAACACTAGACCGAGACCGAGATAGAAACATTCGGGTTTAGCCGCACGTCTCTCAAGACGGCTAAACCCGAATTATTCTAGTTCTAGTTTTAGTTCAATAAAAATATACAACATAGTGATATCTTATGCTAACTAGCGCTACTTACCACTGTCTCTAAAACTAGCATTAGACCTAGAAACATTCGGGCTTAGCCGCACGTCTCTCAAGACGGCTAAACCCGAATTATTCTAGGTCTTGTGTTAGTTCTAGTGATAGTGCTAGTGTAAAACTAGAACTAACACTAGACCAAGAACTAAAAATATTCGAAAAAAAAAAGAAGAAAAAATTTGAAAATTCGGGGATCACTAAAGAGTAATAAAAACTACATTCTTAGATAGTTTAGAACTTCTATGCAATGTGGAGTCTTTTTAGGGGATTACCTAAAAACTTTTTAAATAGCAACCCCTATCGAGTTTTACCTTATTTTAAAGGTAATGGTAAAAGAAATACAACCCCATAAACCAAAACCCGATATCTTAATTCTTTCAAGAATTATGAGGGGTTGACTACCAAATGGGAAAATGGGAATTGAATGAATGGGACTTCGAAAGAAGGTTGGAATTCTGTAAAATAGTACGTGAAAAATGTGATATTGACAGAAATTTTCTTTTGAACGTTGTTTTCTCTGATGAGGCTACTTTCTACTTGAATGGTAAGGTTAATAGGCACAATTGTCGTTATTGGAGTGACGAAAATGCACGTTTAATAAGAGAAGGACATACTCAGAGACCGCAGAAAATTAATGTATGGACTGGTATTATGGGAGAGAATGTAATTAGTCCATTTTTTATTAATGGAAATTTGGACGGAGACAGATACCTGCATCTGTTAGAAAATCAAGATGGTAGTCCGTTTCCAAACCGTTGGATTGGTAGTAGAGGTAACATTGAGTGGCCACCACGATCTCCTGATTTAACACCACTCGATTTTTTCTTTTGGGGATTTCTAAAAAGTAGAGTGTATGCAACAAAACCAGAATCAATCAATGATTTGGAAAATCGCATACTTGAAGAACCACCAATATCACTTGGAATATGCTCCTGATGGTTCAAAATTCCATCGATGAGTGTTTGTGATATTGCGAAACCGAAGAAGGTTGACAATTTAAACATTTGTTATAAAAATCGTAATAAAAGTGCAAAAAAGCATGAAAACATTTTATTTTCATTTCATTTTATTTGGGGTTGATACGTTCGTAAGACACTTTTTTAAGTAGAATATACTACCGTTGAAAAATTTTAAAAATATTTGATGATTTTTAAGATTCAACACAAAGTTGTATTTTTTTAAATACAAGCTATAGTAGATTATGGTGTTACTGAAAAGAGCATATTTTTAGCTTTCCAATGATGTATTGTACGCATGGTGTATTTGGAGAAAATAAACGTTATTTTTTAATTCTAAAATATTAAAGATTAATATTCAAAATTTTAATTATAGTAGGCGAGGAAAACGTTAAATGCCACTTAGTTACTATAGTAACGTGAGTTTACCGATCATTTCATTCATGAATTTTTCGAAACGAGTTTCCCGCTTAAAAATTCCTCATTATCTTTAAATACATAAAGCAACAAAATTAAAAAATGATTCTTTGAAAATGATAGATAAGGCTCCATATCCCATATAAACATCGTTTCAATGAAAAGTCCGCTGCCCAGTTTATGATCCCTAATTTTCCTCTATCTCACCCAATTTCAAAAGAAAAGGTGGCTAATATGAAAAAACTTCTAAATCTCATGGTTGGGAAAAACTGGGAAGATACTACCGAAGATTTCATTCATTGATACCCAACTATTCTAACCTTGCAACCAGTAAGTTTAGTAGAAGATAACACAGTCTGTGAGTGTTTAGTTCCTGAAGTTGTTCATATTTAATCAAAATTGAATTTCGAAGAGCGATGAGCGTACCTTAGCGAAGAACTTGCTGTGCAACATTAATTAATGAATTAATAAAAATAATATAAAAATACGCACAGAATTAATCATTTTTGGTTTTATTAAATTTATAATTAATAAATGAATTTATAATTTCTTTCGTGACATAAGGTATGACGTATCCGACAGCTTCGCACGCTTCGATTGAATTTTTGAGACTGGAGTGGGAGGCGTTTTAGGATAACTTTCCTAAACTGTCCGGGCTCTGATAATAACACGCAAATTTGCCCACCCTGTACACTTGGAACTACTTGATTATCTAACAGTTGCAGATATCTGTCTCCGTCCAAATTTCCATTAATAAAAAATAGACCAATTACATTCCTTCCCATAATACCAGCCCATACATTAATTTTCTGCGGTCTCTGAGTATGACCTCTTATTAAACGTGAATTTTCGTCATTCCAATAACGACAATTGTGCCATTAACTTTACCATTCAAGTAGAAAGTAGCCTCATCAGAGAAAATAACATTCAAAAGAAAATTTCTGTCAACATCACATTTTTCACGTACTATTTCACACAGACCTAAAAAGAATTAACATATCGGGTTTTGGTTTATGGGGTTGTGTTTCTTTTTTCATTACCTTTAAAATAAGGTAAAACTCGACCGGGGTTGCTATTTAAAATGTTTTTAGGTAATCCCCTAAAAAAACTCCACATTGCATAGAAGTTCTAAACTATCTAAGAATGTAGTTTTTATTACTCTTTAGTGATCCCCAAATTTTCAAATTTTTTTTTCTTTTTTTTTCGAATGTTTTTAGTTCTTGGTCTAGTGTTTGTTCTAGTTTTACACTAGCACTATCACTAGAACTAACACAAGACCTAGAATAATCGGGTTCAGCCGTTTTGAGAGACGTGCGGCTAAGCCCGAATGTTTCTAGTTCTAGGTCTCGGTCTAGTGTTAATTCTAGTTTTGCACTAGCACTATCACTAGAACTAACACAAGACCTAGAACTAGAATAATTCGGGTTTAGCCGTCTTGAGAGACGTGCGGCTAAGCCCGAATTTTTCTAGTTCTAGGTCTAATGTTAGTTCTAGAGACAGTGGTAAGTAGCGCTAGTTAGCATAAGATATCACTATCTATGTTGTATATTTTTATTGAACTAAACCGCACGGCTAACCCCGAATGTTTTTAGTTCTAGGTCTAGTGTTAGTTCTAGTTTTATACTAGCAATATCAGTAGAACTAACACAAGACCTAAAACTAGAATAATTCGGGTTTAGCCGTCTTGAGAGACATGCGGCTAAGCCTGAATGTTTCTAGTTCTAGGTCTAATGTTAGTTCTAGAGACAGTGGTAAGTAGCGCTAGTTAGCATAAGATATCACTATGTTGTATATTTTTATTGAACTAAAACGCACGGCTAAACCCGAATGTTTTTAGTTCTTGGTCTAGTGTTAGTTCTAGTTTTACATTAGCACTATCACTAGAACTAACACAAGAATTAGAACTAGAATAATTCGGGTTTAGCCGTCTTGAGCGACGTGCGGCTAAGCCCGAATGTTTCTAGTTCTAATGCTAGTTTTAGAGACAGTGGTAAGTAGCGCTAGTTAGCATAAGATATCACTATGTTGTAAGTATATTTTTATTGAACTAAAACTAGAACTAACACTAGACCTAGAACTAGAAAGTATCTAGTAGTATTAGCTCTAGTTTTACACTAGCACTATCACCAGAACTAACACAAGACCTAAAACTAGAATAATTCGGGTTTAGCCCTCTTGAGAGAGGTGTGGCTAAATCCGAATGTTTCTAGTTCTAGATCCAGTGTTAGTTCTAGTTTTGCCCTATCACTGTAACTAACACTAGAACTAGAATAATTCGGGTTTAGCCGTCTTCAGAGACGTGCTACTAAATCTACTGCTGTACCCTTCACTTTGTGGCACAAGTCGAACTATTTCGACTTTGTATTAAGTAACATAGACTTTTAATATCCTTTGTTTAAAAAATTCATTGAATAACATTTCAGGAGCTGAGATATTATCATTTTCTGGGGTGTACTTTATTGTATCACTGTATAATAATAATTTAGCATTTCTTGACAAAAATGTCAAGATATTTTATGTTTTTATAAATTTTTGTTTTCAATATTGCAATAAAATCAAATCAATAGTTCTAGGTCTAGTGTTAGCTCTAGTTTTACACTAGCACTGTCACTAGAACTAACACAAGACCAGAACTAGAATAATTCGGGTTTAGCCCTCTTGAGAGAGGTGTGGCTAAATCCGAATGTTTCTAGTTCTAGATCTAGTGTTAGTTCTAGTTTCGCACTATCACTATAACTAACACTAGAACTAGAATAATTCGGGTTTAGCCGTCTTGAGAGACTTGCGACTAAATCTACTGCTGTAGCCTTCACTTTGTAGCACAAGTCGAACTGTTTTGACTTTGTATTAAAATAATATAGACTTTTAATATCCTTTGTTTAAAAAATGCATTGAATTACATTTCAGGAGCTGATATATTATAATTTTCTGGGGTGTACTTTATTGTATCACTGTATAATAATAATTTAGCATTTCTTGACAAAAATGTCAAGATATGTTATGTTTTTATATATTTATGTTTTCAATTTATTGCAATAAAAGTAAATCAATAATTAAAAATCTTACCAGGTGGTCCCCAATTCTGTCCATTAAAGTTTGGATGACCATTAAATCCGCCTGGCGGTGGATTTCTTGGTGGTGCTCCTCTTCCAGCAAACATCGGGGGTGGAGGGCCTCCTCTGCCTCTAAATTGTAATGGTCCACCTGGTCCAAAGCCTCTACCTCGAAACCTTGATCCACCTTCCGGTCTAATAGCAGGTGGTCCGTTCCAACCGCCTCTTGGTTGTTGTCCGCGACCTCTAAAATTATGGAAATGTTTCTCAGTGTAACAATTACAAAAGTAACAGGAATAACTATAATTGTTTATTCAAAACGTGAACATATTTATTAGGAATGACATGAATTATTTCTGTCACATATCCATTAAATAATTGTTTACGTTTCCATGGCAACTAAGACGTTTGGCGTTAAAGAAATTAGATGAACCAACCTGAAATTCGGCCGTCTGCCTCTTCCGCCGACAAAATCGTCGCCTATGTCGACGTCGTTTTCAAAGTTTTCTTCCTCCTCGTACTCTTCGGGGTTTGCGACGCCTTCGTCGGCGTTCTCGTACTCCATCACGTCAGTATCATTCTCGGCCATGTGATTATCGCGCTTATTTACTGAATTTTTAGTATAATCGTGAAAGCGTCACTGTTAATGGCCGTCGGCTGTCAACCTTTCCTTATGGTTTCTTACTGTATTATACGAATGAAGTTAGCTATAATTTAAACTTGATAAATCAATAAACGCAAAATAGACAACAAATAAGAAGAATTTATTAATAATAATGTAGTCTGTTGTTCTTTATTTATAGGGAAGCCCTTATAAATCATAATCATTTGGAAATTTCAAAATTAAAAGACTTTTTTGGTAAAAAGAATTGCACGACATCTATGTCATATTTGCAGCATTGCCAACCGAATGGAAGATATCGATATAGAAGATACCGAGTCTACCGATATACGACTTAATCTACCGATTTTCAAAACTTCGATTATTACTTACGCATTTGAGGAAAAGTATAAAAAAGCAATATCGTTAAGACTTTCGTTCAAAGAATTTTTATTATAACATGCTCCGATTCGCGAGTTTTACCATTAACAACTTGTAAAACAATGAAATTCATCAAATTTTAATTTTTTCCTATATTTTCGTTATCTATGCATCTGAGAGCAAAAGTGTAAGAGACCAATATTCTTATGAGTGAAGTTTGCTACAACTTTTTACTAAAGCTTTTTTCTAAGCCGTTACGAATCCAGTGGTCCACCAATAACAAGGTGCAAAACCACGATTTCATCTAATTTTCACCTTTTCAAATTTTCCTCGATATTTATGCATTTGAGAGCAAAAGTGTAAGGCCCTCCGCACACGGGTCGATTGATTTGCAATCGGAGTTTCAAATCGGTTACAAGTACAACCAGTTTGCAATCAGAAAACAATCCGTGTCCGCACACTAGCGCGACCGTTTCCAGATCAGTTGCAATCAATTGGTATTCTCCGCTTACTAGCGAAGTACATTTTTGTTACGAAGACGGTTTCAGCAAATATGTCAAGTAGCAGTTCTGACGAAGAAGACGTAATTGCTTACTATCAATACCGCAAACTACGTAGAGCAGGACGAAGAAAATATTGGAGCCATCCTNTATTGGTTTTTTTTATTCTATCCGAGAAAAGTACTAATTGATTTATTTAATTAGCAAGTTAATTTTTGGTTCTCTATTATAAAAAAAGGACAGATATTTTTTAAAATATTTAGATGTAATGCTTAAAGTAATTAAATATTTTATATGTTAAACAATTTCGTGTTCAATCACATAAATTCAATTAATCTTTTATTCTGAGTATGCAACTTCTACTACAAGTTGGATTTCCAATTTTATTCAATTCATTCATAAATGATGTTTTTCTCGTTTGCCGTTAGAGGCAGCACGAGCTAGAGCAACCCAACTCGACCGGTTGGATAACTATGTATATCTATAAACAAGGGTTATAATAACAAAAATAAAGGAATAACATAAGTATTTCACATACCTGACATATTTACTTTAGCCGCCACCTCCTGCCATGCTTTTTCCGTGATGTCTTTCCTTGAATATCCAGAAAGATGGTAATTATAAAGCACTTCATGCTTTTCTACTTCTTTAACAAACTTAATATTAGTTTCCTGATCCATGCCGAAAATAAAAACAGCGTGAAAGAAACAAAAACGTGTTTACAAAACACGCAACCATACAACTGAAACCGTCTCGCGACACGGAGAAACAGTCGCATGCAACCGGTTGGATACTGATTGCAAATCGGTCATTTTTATCGACCCGTGTGTGGATCCCCGTTCTCGTATACAGACTATGTCGCCAAACGGTTGCATCCCCAACCGATTTGAAACTCCGATTGCAAATCAGTCGACCGTGTGCGGAGGGCCTAAGAGAGCAATACTGTTAAGAATAACATTTGCTACAACTTTTCTTATAATTTTTTTTCTATAACATGCTCCGATTCCCGAGTGTCACCATTAACAACTTGTAAAAGATTGAAACTCATCAAATTTTAATTTTATCGTATTTTTTCGTTATCTATGTATCCGAGAGCAAAAGTGCAAGAGACCAATATATTATGAATGAAGTTTGGTACAAGTTTTATATTAAAACATTTTTTCTAAACCGTTGCGAATCCAGTGTTCTACCAACAACAAAATGTAAAACCACGATTTAATCTAATTTTCACCTTTTCGAATTTTCCTCCATATTTATGAATCTGCGTGCAAAAGTGTAAAGGAGCAATATTGTTAAGAATAAATGTTGCTACAACTTTTGTTCTAAAAGTTCTTCTATAACATGTTTCGATACCAGAGTGTTACCATAATAATAATAATATTTATTGACAACTCATACAGAGATTACAACTCACAAAATAAAAGAAAATAAAAAAAAAAAACAAACGTAACTTCAAATGTTGTCAAAAAGAGTCGAGTCAATGCACCCAAGTAGGGTACTATTGCTTTTTATCGACCCTTGAAAATTTTGAAAAACAAGAAAAAATGTAAGAAAATAATAATACATAAGAGAAACAGAACGCAGGTACTTGATATAATAACATGATATAAAAAAAAACAAATATAGTATAACATTTTGAGACAATAAAATTATACACCTACCAATTTTAAATTTATATAAGTTTTAATTGGGTTGCCTCAGCTGAATTGCCTCTGCTGTTGAAGTAGCAAATGTTTTAAACTCTTCTTAAAAGGGAAAGCGCTCATTCCACCCGTATCAGTCTACATATTTAGTAACCAAATTAGCAATACAATATGAAAATGATCTCTTAAAAAGTTGAGATTTATGCCGTGGTATGTCTAACCAATGATGATGTCTAACACTGATGTTGTGCACATCAGTGCGAAATCGAATTTTATCATATAGATAAGGTGGACATTTGTACAGAATAATGCGTCGAAACAAACATATCGAATGAAGTACACGCCTTCGCGACATACTGAGCCAACCAACCCTATCCAGAAAGTGTGATACTCGACTTCGCCTACGCAAACCATAAATGAACCGCAGGCACGCATTTTGCGCCCTTTGAATTCTAGAAACATCCACACAATCCAGACAAGGATGATAGAGCACATCACCGAAATTAAATAGGGACAACACAAGGGTCTCACAAAGATGAGTTTTGATCTGTCTACTGGACAGATGCCTGTTACTATATAACAATCTAAGAGTAGAATAAGCTCGTTGCAATAACAAACTGACATGCCTTCTAAACCTCAAATTGTTATCCAAGATAATGCCCAAGTTACGTCCCTCCTTAACAGCATTAAGCTTATTTCCATCAATGACGACACTAAAATCATCTCCAATTGATTCAATAATGCTATCATTACCAAACAATAGAACAACTGATTTTTTAGGGTTTATTTGCAAACAAAGTTTATTAGCTTCTCCGATAAGCGCTGCCAAATCCGAATTTAACTGTTCTTGTGCAGAATTAATAGAATTAATCTGAAAATTATGTAATGGGTATCATCAGCATACATATACACTGAACAATGTTGCAAAACTGTGCAAAGACGGTAAGTGTAAATTAAATACAGAATCGGACCCAAAACTAATACTAATACTAACCATTGACAACTAATAAAACAACGAAGTTCATCACATTTTCATATTTTCGCGATATTTAAGCATCTGAGTGCAAAAGTTAAGGAGAGCAATATCGTTAAGAATAAAATTTGCTACAAAAACACACAACTTTCGTTCAAAAAGTTTTTTTTTAATATGCTCCGTTTACCGAGTATTACCATTAACAACTTGATTTTGCAACAAATATATCAAAGTTTCACATTTTTGTATTTTTATCGATATTTAAGCATCTGAGAGCAAAAGTGTAAGAGCACAATATTGTTAAGAATAAAGTTTGCTGCAACTTTTGTTCTAAAGGTTTTTTTATAACATGCTCCGATTCCCGAGTGTTACCATTGACAACTAGTAAAACAACGAAATTCATCACAATTTCATTTTTTCGTATTTTTGTCGATATTTCAACATCTGAGAGCAAAAGTGTAGGAGCACAATATTGTTAAGAATAAAGTTTTCTACAACTTTTGTTCTAAAGGTTTCCTTATAACATGCTCCGATTCCCGAGTATTACCCTTGACAACTAGTAAAACAACGAAGTTCATCACATTTTCATATTTTTCCCGATATTTAAGCATTTGAGAGCAAAAGTCAAGGAGAGCAATATTGTTAAGAACAAATATTGCTACAATTTTTGTTCTAAAAGTTTTTTTTATAACATGCTCCGATTCCCGAGTGTTACTATTGACAACTAGTAAAACAACGAAGTTCATCACATTTTCATATTTTATCATAATAATAATAATATGACTTTATTGTATCCCATATAGAACAAAGGGAAAAATAAAAAATATATATACAGAATAATTTATTAGCTCACCATCAAACTATGATAGCGAATCCAATTACTAAAAAAAATGATAATGAACATATGTCCTATTTCAATTATTTACGAAATTATAACACTTTAGAGTTTTAATTTTATATCATAATTAACTGCTAAATTTTTTTAAAAACATAAATATTACAAATATTGTTCAAAATAGCCTCCTTCTCCTAGAATACATGCTTCACAACGACGAATTAAAGAGTTCTTCAACCGAATTAAAATGTCTGGTTGATTTCTTATTTCAGAGCAGCCATTGTATTCTGTTTAATAACTATTCTCGTGTGTTAATTTCCACTTGATACACAATTTGTTTCATTTGACCACATAAGTAGAAATCTAATGGATTAAGTTCGGGGGATCTAGGTGGTCAAGCAAATGGACCATTATTACCAATCCACTTGTTTGGAAAATATTGGTTTAACCACTCGACAACTAGTCTTCTGCGATGAAGTGGGGCTCCATCATGCTGGTACCACATATTTTGAATTACATCAAGAGATATATCTTCCAGTAAATCAAAAAGAGTATTGTTCAAAAAAAATATGTAATTTATAACGTTCAAATGTCCACCAAGTACATGCACACCTAGTAAATTGTTGTTAAATATTCCACCCCAAACGTTGATGCTGAAACGTTGTTGAAATTTCCTTGGTCTAATCGCATGCGGATTTTGTAATGCCGAGATATGTTCATTATGGTAATTATTTATACCATCTTGTGTAAGA